TTATTTTTCTTTACAGGCAGTTCAGATACAAATCATTCCACCCTTTGTTATATTTGTGTGAGTGGAAGTGTTCACATGTGTGCTATGTACTGTATGTAAGTGCAACCATATATGTGGATGTGTGTGTGTGTGTGTGTGTGTCTGGTTCCCAAAGCAGAGTGATGCCCCTGCTGATTCTGCTCCTCTAGCTCTTTGTCCTGCAGCACTCAGTGTGTCTGCCTCCTCGGGAGACTGGCAGGCTTCTCTAGTGTGGCTCCACAAAGGCCCAGCCTCCTTTGAGGTGTTAAAAACTTCCATTTATGCATCTCCCTGGACAAAAAAAAAGCACCAAGCCCATTTGAGTCCAGTAGCAACACAGGCAGACATTGTGGCCACGCTTCTCTAGCACTCATTTCACAGATTCTAAAACCAGTATGTGGTGAACAGGATTTGAGGGGCTAAAGTGCCCCGCGAGGCCCAGGCGATAAGAGGGGAGAAACACCACCACGCAGTAAACTAGAAGATGGGACCTAGGAAAATAAACACATTACCTGGGAGAGAAAGAGAGAGAGAGACTTGTTTTCATGCCCCTGCCCCCCAACATACACGAAAACAAAAACTCCACACTGAATATGAAAGACAGAGAACAAAGGGGGGGTGGAAAGGAAAAAAATGGGTATTTCAGAAGTTAAGAAAAGAGGCCTAATCAGTGTGCAAAAAGACAAGGCTATTCTGTGTTGTTCTGTCTTTACAGTCTTTGGAGTAAAGAATATGTGAAAGAAAATCAAAGAGAATTGATAGGTTGCACGCCCGCATGTTTGGAGCACTGGGGACTGAATGCCGTCCACCACGGACGAAAACATTTTACTTGCTGGTCGTTTCTCTCCCTTCACCCTGCCTCAATCCAGTTGCTCAGTAAATAGACTTTTATTCTTGTTATTTGACGCCGAGGAAATGACAGATAATGTATTTGCCAAGCAGCACATGAAAGCCTTGTTCAGCCACAGCACTGTATCCGTATCAGAGCATTACTTTTAACAACCTCTGGGTAGAATAGCTGTTGCTTGAGAGCGATTTTTTTTTCCTCCCCTAGTTTTATCTGACATTACTGCATTTCAGCTCTGTCAAAATACTGGTCACTGTTTCACACTCAACAAAGATGTTTTAACTGGAGTGACACTCTGGTTGTCATTCTTGACGCACTGGTGCGCTGGTGCTAGACATTTTGTGAGTGTCTAGTCTGCTGTAAGTTCAGCATCAGAAACGGCATCGACCCGACGTCGAAAAGGGCAAGTCTGAGAGAGACAGAGGGTAATGATAAAGAGAGAAAAGAGAGATTTGTACAGTTGTGACAGTTGTGTGGTGTGCTGGAGCATGAAACAGCTGTTGGCATGTGACCCGGCCATGTTTTCAACACCAAATTACTCAATGACATGATAGATCGCTTGCGGAAATACTCTTTGTCTTTCTGACATCACAGCGGCAGGCTTTTTATTTTTTCTGTATGAAGCGTATCACAGCTGCAGGAAGTGAATGAACTGTGCTTTAGGTGTTTCCTGACGAGTAATGTCCTCTCGTCTGTGGAGATTACGCACTGCTGTTTCATATTTTGCAGATGCTACAGTACGTACAGAATGGACTTCATGCAAGTGGATATTTAATAGACAATCGTGCTCAATTGTGTTCAATTAGTATTTCAGCCTTTTCTGAGCAATGATGTTCTTCTTTGCTTCACACCTTTGCCTTCAACACTCAACCCTCCCCTTCCTCCCATTTCCCCATTTTCCCTTGGGATAGCTGCTGTTATAGCCTCACCCCAATGCATCCCAAACTCCCCCATGCAGTCCCCAGTCTGACTGACTGTGCGGCTGCTGCATTTGCAGAGATAACCACAGTGCATCCAGGTAGGGAACAGCCTGCTGATGGCATAGATTACCTCTATTGTCAAAATAACTAACTCTGCAGAATTCCTACTTTAGTGTGTTTGGACGCAGAGGAGAGTAAGGATTTGGAACGGAGGATTGGGAGGATTTTTTTTTTTTTTAACATGTTGTAGATCTGGATGAATTCCACACAGAAGTTGAAGTAAAAGTTTTGGCTTGCTCATGCATATCCACACACGGCTACAGGAAGGCGAAATGCACATATGTGCACATATAACATGTGCATACATAGCATTACTGCAATATACAGTTAACAGAGGCACATGAAACACAAAACCTCTTTGGTATCCTCTGCTGTATATAGTTGTGGTGGTGTTTTCTATTGGTGCTGAGCCACTGTCACATGACAGTTTGAAAAAACACAGCTCTCTGTTATGGATAGGGGAAATTAAATTAAGCTTAACCCTCGCCATAAGTAAACACATGTCTCGAATTTAAAGGTTCAGTTGATTTAAAAGTGAATCTTTCTGACTTGTGGTAGTAAAACTGCGTTCCTCCACAGCACATAAGAGGCTTGACCTCAAATCCCAATTTTAGCAGTCGTGCGGTACACGCGATGTGTAACGCAGTACAAAGAGGTAGTTTCTAGTGGCAGATTTCGGTGTTAATTGGTTAACCTTGGAACTTGAACGCGTTGTGATCAGAGCAAATGCATACTCCTGACTTACAGAAAGTGTAGGATCAGGTACTGTCCTTTTGCTTCACATCAGTTGTTTGGACTCTGAAATATGTGTTTGTGTGTTGCTGGCAAAGGTCAGTGCTGGAAAAATATACCATAAATTATGGCTGTTTCTTTTCATATAAAAACTTTTAATGTAACCTAAGTGTGTGTGCATATTTTCTTGTGTGTGTGTGTGTGTGTGTGTGTGTGTGTGTGGTAGCTCTGTCAAACCGAACATGGAGAAAAGGCCACTCCTTGAAAAAAGATTTCTCTGTGCTCATGCCTTCTAATCTTAGCTACATCACTCTGTTTGGATTTTTCTACCTATGAGCGAAACCTCCAGTATTTTCATTACAATGAAGCAAAAAAACAGTCATTGTGCTTTGCTTTGAGCCTTAAATTGTTGTCCAGAAAGGTCTAATTTACTGTGCATTTTTCTTTCAAAGTAACTGTTTATTTAAAATAAACAGTTAAATGTATTGAAAGTTCATAAAACGTGGTGTGACTAATAAATTTGACGTTGAGTTTAACTAAAATTGTACATAGTAAGTCTGTGATCTTGTAATTAGGAATAGAGGGTGCCTGTTTTATGTTTCCTGCCTGTAGGTGTAATTCACAGCAGGAAAAGAGCTGTTACGTGCCTCTACAATAGGCCAGTTGACACGACTCTTATTACACCACAGGGATTGCTACACTGGCTTCATTATAATATCATTTGGGTTCACTCATTATTTGCAATTATAAATTTTTCCCCCTCTCACACAAATAATTATCTTAAATAACCAATGAATAAAGAACTCAGCTCCCCATGTATTATTTACCCCATTGTTCTCAATTAACATCAAATTATGAATTCAAAGGTTTGTTAATATCTACTATGTGTAATTAGTAGAGCCCTCTTTTATTTAGAGGCAACAGGAATTCAGCCTGTAGTCAGATGACAAATGGAAAGAAAGACGAACTGTTTATTGAATTACCATCCATGAAATATGTGGTTTATCCAGCAGGCAGGGGCGGTACTATACTGAATAGCTTCAAATATAACTTATTCCTGTGTATATGTGGGGACAAGAGTGGGTGTTTGCAGCTGGAGCATAGTACACAGCAGTGAAATAGTGAAGCAGCATTTAAAAGCCAGAAGTAGGCTTCGAAATCAGAGGTGTAATTCATATAAGGCCATAACAAGAATACCGTTTCTTGAGTTTGTCACCACTTAACTGAATTCCTCATGGATATTTTTCTGTCACATGAAACCTTACATCATTATTTATATCATAATAATCAAAAACAGGCCTTGTTATAATGTGAAAAGGATTTTTCTCTGAGGGAAATTGATTTTCGTCATGGTGGCAGCAGTACATTGCTGTATGTTACAGCTTTCCATTCAGCTGGGGTCACCTGGGTCCCCTCTCTCCCATTGTCACATCCAGCCTCAAGGCTACCACATTCAGATCTGTCTGTGACTCTTGCCTTTATCTGTCTCATTCTACTAGCCCTCCAGCCTCCCACGCAGCAGACTGTACTGTGCTCTGACAACAATGCAGCAGTAGTCAGTATATTTATCCTGTCTTGTTGATGGTGGCTTATTGGCCCCAGCAATAGAAGACTGAGGTGCTGTAGAGCAAATTAGTGACAGATCAGTTAAGCGTGACCTCAAAAAACCCTTGGCCTTGTTTAATTGGCGGTGTTGAGGCAGACTAATTGTATAAATAAGCTGGTAATGAGATCTTGGCTTATTGTTAAAAACAAGATAATGTGAGAAAATGAGCATGAATGATCTTGGAGCTTTTTCATCTCCCAAAGTATATGCTCTGATCACTGAATTGTTTTCGCTCTGTAATTATTACTTCTAAACTGTGGGTGCATTTAAGTTTGAGTTGGCTCTGACCCCTGAATCTGTGCACTTATTCTACACTAGAGTTTCTAACAGAGCTCTTAAGTTGCAGCACTTCAGCGTGATGCTGAAACTAGCTGAGCACGGCCCCTAAATAAATCATTAGCAGCCAATGCTTGATGAAAGAAAGCTACATTAAATAAAACAATTGCTGAACACGAAAACTGTTGATTAGTGGAATCTGCGGACTTGAAGACAGAATAATGAGGTAGCAGAGAAGCAGATTTTAAACATTGTCTAAGACTGATTCCTATTAGTAACAGCTGTCAAGAGTGGAGGTCAGACACTAACAAAGCTGTTTTAACTCAGCTGTGGAAACTCTGACCCTGAGCCAACAGTCAATATGGTCCCAATTTTCTTCCTCTTGTTCGGTCTGTTTGTTCTAATGTAGGTAAATAGAGCCATCTAAGACCCATGCTGATTTTATATTACAAATTGCCTTTAACTTATGCAATATTTTGCATACAAAGACACAACTTAATAGCTTTTTTCTATGTTTTTTTTTGTCTTTATTATATTGCAGGTTATTTACATGAATTCAAAATCAACCAACCAGTGATCGCTGGAAGCTGAGTCTTTCAGTTTTTGTAAGTATCAATTTGCCCCTTCAGCTGTTTCTGTCTTGCACACATGTCTCAAACACCCCTGCTGTCTTTCACCCACACTGAACACCTGCATTAAATGAAGTGGACAATTGGATAGGCACAAAATGTATGCACAATTAGACAGTTATATAGGGCCAAAGTTACTGACACACCTTTCCACACTTATTTTTTTTTTCTTGCATCATATATTCCTTCAGTTAATTTTGTGGTTAGTCAGAATTTCTTATTTTTTTCACAGCTTTTTCACCACTATTGTTTTGTGCTGTTGTGTCTTACAGTCCAGTTTTGTGCGTGGGCTTTGCAGGTTTACGGTTAAATCTGGTTTTCTGCTAATGAATGAAAATATCTTAAAGACTATATGAGCTACACACACACACACCCAAACAAAACCTTTGCGTGGGTATTGCTAGTCAAAGATATAAAATCTAAAATATCATTAGCTAAAAGCAAATTCACAGTAATATTGCAGGTTTATACATTTTGTAAACATATTTATATATTTTATGTCTAAATTTAATTCTAATCTTGACAACAGTTCCTGAAATTGTACAAATATATATATAGAAGAGGTTTTAATTTCCATAAATGTCAACATTTGCACAATACTGGTTGCAGTCACTGCTGCGCCACTATGTATAACAGCCTATTTTTCTTTAACAGGGATGCAGTTTCTTCTAATTAAATTAAAATTATTGGAAATAACGTAACTTTTCTTCTGTCCGATTATAACACAATAATGCGCTGACTTACGCTCCATTAATGATTCTTGTTAACGATCTCTGAGATGTTAAAGAAGAGGGTGAGATTATGATGGATAATCCTGTAATACATATATAACAAATAAGCGCTAATCCTCAAAGTACCAAAGGGGCGCTATCATTTATACCAAAGCAGGATCAGGTCTATGTTTAAAGCACGTCAGAGTCACAGATCAAGCACTGTATAACTCTGCTTGTAAACCGAAATATCAATTTAAAACTGGTCTACGTGAAATTTTTCAAAGCAATATAGTAAGACCGTTTCTATGAAATGTGGCATTTTGCTTAAAATAACAGAAACACTACAATTCTTTTTCTGCATCAATATCATATTACTTTAACAACCTTTGTGCAGCTGCTGCTCGTGCACGTTTTCTAATAAAAATGTATCTTAGATATTAAACAAATAAAGGAGAGGAACTAAGTTTTTATTATTCTTTTCCTCCAAATGTCAGTTGGAGATATCATGGGAGTCATATTAATGTGACTGGAAAGCTCTTCAATAACAGCTTGGAAATGTCGCTATATGAATTCAAAGTTCATGGCCATTTACTATTGTTTAATCACACCATTTCACACCACGCACGTGCCTTCTGCTCAGATGAACGCGCACCTGCCTACCAGCGATCTATCTCTGTGGCTGCCTGTTAGCATTGTCGAGACAGCCAGGTTGTGCTTTGTATGGCTGTAGATCATCTAATTAATCAGTCAGCGTTATTAGAAGCTCTCAGTACTTGCAGGCACTGTTGCGATATAATAAATAGATTTAATACTAGTGGGAAATAGAATAGATATATTATGAGTATTATGTTTTGCATAATCTGGCTGGCTTAATTTACAGATTTTTCTATATATGAAAAAAATAAAAGAGTAAAACCAGCAGACGCTGGGTAAGCTTTTCAAAGGCTGGGTTAATTCAAACTGAATGTTTTTAGGACTTACATCTTGCTCTGCCTTTAAAGGAAGATCCATAATAGTCCCTTTGTTGAAATCATCAAGAAACCACTTATAGTTTTCGATCTTTACACTAGACGCACCAGCATAGCTCAAAATCTGCAAGCACAAAACGACACAAGCATCTCAGGGTACTTGTGAAAATGCTTGTACTTGGGTCTGGTAGTTAGTGAACTGATGCCTGAAGTAAAGAAATAAAGACTCCTCAGTAAAGTGCTCATGGTTAATGGTTATTGAATGCTATTAGGCACCTGTCACTATTTGTTAAAGAGGAAAATGCAACAAGACACCCATGTGGGCAAGCAGCAGTGTCATCGCACTTTTTGAGACATTAATCTGGGTCTTTATGCGATCTTAAAACCTTCGACCTACAGGTTTAATTAAGCTCAAAATACGAGCTGAAGTAATTTAGTTTGGTTGCTTATACAACGTGTTTGATTACTCTCGTGCAAAGTCGTTTAAAAAACACTTGAGGGGTATGTTAGACAATCTCTAGTACAGGTCATACACGCTCTGTTAAAATGCACCATTTATCCAGTAAGCCGCAGCCGCGTGGTCTCACCGCTGCTGAGCCCACTATTGATGGCTAGACTGAAGGGGAGGTTGCTGGGAGCCAGTTTGTCAGAAATTAAATAAACAGCACTTCACCACAAAATGAAAATGAACAACCTTTGAATGGTTACTCTCCATCTATTATTTATCAAATGAGCCTCTTCAGTCCACTGACCCTGCAATGATTATGGTCAATATGCTGAACAGAGACTGCTTGACAAAGACTGCCTAACAAAGATTTTAATTCCATCAGCCTCAATTACTTCAGACAATCCCAGAGTGAATTTGGAAAACAAATTGCTGCACATGTCATTACCTGGCAAGAATGTGTAAAACCTGCTTAACTTTATTTATCTTCCTATACGCTGCATTTAATTAATAACTCCCACTCTGTATTGCTCGGGGATGACCTCATTTGAAGGGTCTAAACTAACTGTTGGCGATCTGATTATTCTGCTCTGATATTATTATTATTTTTATAACGTTTGACAGACTTTATTTCACTCTCGGAAGAATAAAATTCTAATATGGATTTGGCCGCCGTCCTGCCTCTCACAGTCTGTTCCCTCGCACTGTAAGACAGAGTTTCATCTAGTAGCTATTCACGTCAGAAAACAGGACCAAAGAACATGCCATTAATCTCCTTGCTACCCCAGCTGTGGAAAGTAATGCATAACTAAAAGTCCTGTAAAATGAATTAATGATTTCAACCATGAACTTTTCTCCCAAAAAGCCATGAATCGTCTCCAACTGATAATGCACCACGACCCTGGAGTGTGGAATCCCTGTTGCGTTGAGAGTAGCCAGTTAATTGATTCGCAAATTATTTAAACTTTGTGGGGCCCAGGGGAGTGCTAGGCTCTAATGACAGCCCATTTTGAAAGAGCTGAAAAACTCTTCCCAGGCAAGCCGGTATTAAGTTGTAATAGTCGGCTAACAAGTCCAAACTGAGCCCCAAGATGAGATATGTGTAAGCACTGAGCATTAAATCGAGTTAGCTGAATACTCGTTAAATTAGGATGAATCACATCCTCAATTTAAGATATAATTTTATTGCCATTTATTATGTTTTTGCAAGCATTTGTTATTTTTCCCACCTCCCCCAGTGGCTCTTTTATCTTCTCTTGCATAGCGTACAATATGAAAAGCAGTCTGTTTATGATTCACATACGAGGCTGAACATTGTTACCAGAGTCAGCTTACGAAAGCCTGTTGTCATCTGTCCATCAGTATGCCAGTCACTGTAGGACAGTGAGCCATTAACCTTCTTTTTAATGGTGAATTTAAGGTGCTCAGACCTTTACTTGAATTGGACAAGTTGAAATGTTGTCATCTGTATTTTTCCCTGTATGCTTCATAATGTGTGGCTATATTTAAAGGAAAATCAGAATGTGAGGAAAAAGTCAACAAAGCTCAATAAAACAGGTGTATTTGTGAGGTTTTTGTTGTGGCAAAGCTTTTATCTAGTTATAACTGTGTATAGCAGGCTCAGCCAGTATCATACACACTTTACGTTCCATTGATTTTAAGTTGGAGTTGTTGGATCGCTGTGTTAATATCAAGGAGCCTCTAATCTCGACCCATTAGCAAGTGCTGTCATTCAGACACACGGTGTCGGCCTGATTTAAATAAAATGAAATGAAGATAGTTGTTTCTGCTCCCTTGGCTTCACTCATTGCCATAAACATATGCTCTGTGCCCCGCTTCTTTCCATCTTATTTATGACTTTAATTTGTTGTGTGGGCTGCGCAAGAAATCAAATTTAATCCAATCCTCCCAGGGACCCTGTCATATAATAACATGGTAATTTCTGTGTATCCTTTTGAAAAATGAGGAAATTAATTCTTCCTGACATGTTCTAATTATTCCAGTGTGAACGGCGGATGGGCTCCCCTCCTCCCTACCATCCACCCACCCCCCCACCCACCCCCCAGCCCCCTAAGTGTCAGTTGCCGACGGGTGGCGAGGTGCTAATGCTGACCAGCAGCGCGTTTAATTTGAAACATGAGCAGACACCTTTCAACACACCTTCCTAATGTTGGAGTGGCTCACACAAATTAATTCACTACTCATCTGGCAGCTCTGACTGAGGTGTGTGTGTGTGTGCGCGTGTGCATGCGTGTGCATGCCTCTATGCAAGCATGTGTATGTGCATTGTATTTTAGGTGATGTAGGGAGTCACTGGGATACCATTAACATTAGTAAAGGTAACATAGGTTGTATATATGTGTCTGTCTGTGTGTGTTTGTGTGCCTGCCTCTGGGTATGGGTGTTGAGTTGACATTGAGATTGCTTGGTCTTTTTTCCCCCCTATTTGGATCTCCATCCTCTGAAACCTGTTCTACCTTTTCACATGTTTTGCTGCTCCATTGAGAGTAATGAAAGGCTTATTTAATTAGATTGTCATCATGCAGCGTTTAATGCATCACTTCAGTTTTCATGGGACACTACTAACAGAGATGCTGAAACAATAACCTCATCTTTAAGGCCAAAAAGCCTTGGCACAACCCACTTATAGGTGTTGTTGGTGCAAAGTTACACACCAAAATCAACAATAATCGCACTTAAGGACATGGAAAAAAAACATGCACAATTACAATTGTTTTGACTGCTGTGAAGACTTGGCCTATTTAAGCCCACAGGACTGTGTATGTTCAGGCTTCCTAGAGAAGAAATGTGTCTCTGCTCTAATTATGTATGGTATCAAAGCTGCGGAGACAAGAGCCCAAAAAATAAACAAAATTTGCTGAACTTTGGATTTGGGTTAAAAACCACAGAACTGTAATTGATTTGGTGTGTGTTGTCTCCGGGTCACAGAACACAGGGCTCGTAGCTGTGGCGTCATGGTCGAAGAGAAGAGAACGTGGCTTTGCGAGCTGTGGGTGGGTCCTTCTGTGACTCAGAGCAGGGAGAGGTGTCAACATGGCCGCCTGGCCCACAGGGATTAAAGTGCCTCCCCCTCCCCACACCCTGCAGGGTTAATCACTGCCATTTTGGATCCATGCAGAGGGAGCAAATACACTCTCCATCACTGTGGAACAACTGAGACACAAGCAACCAGTTAGACTGCCACTGTGGGTAGATGTACTTTATAAGCTTCTTTCCACTCAGTACAATAGAGTGTTTTGAGCTCTGGTTTACTTGTCTTAAAAGGGTTGGAGTTCCTGGATCAGCGCATGCTCTTGCTATCCATTCTCATTGGGGTTTATTTAAAGGATATACCAAATAACCTGGGATGTAGTTACTCTTTGGATCTGTGCAGCCAACTTATGTGTCTCGCTGTGCACCCCGCACTATGTGAGCCTGTTAATGACTGAAGACTGAGAGTTCTGTCTCATGCCAAGACCCACATTGCTGCTGGCGGTGCATTAAATCAGCAGTCAATTTGACTGGAAGTTTGAAATCTGGGCTAGGTTAAGGGGATGTGCCGAAGCCGTGTTAATAGCTAGCTTGTTGTCCATATGGTACTGCTTTAATAGAGCACATTTGTTGCAGATGGTGGGAGACTTGGTTAGGCAGAGGCAGCTTTTGGCAGAGGCTCATTCTTCGAAAGGGCTGCCGCACTGCTCAGACTGGGCCAGGCCAACTTAGTGATGTCTATCCTCCCTGCTTCTTTCTCACCAAAAAGCCTGCCCTTGAATTGCAGCCTAGCTTTAATTTAAAGACTTTTTTATTCTGCATTCAGACAAGAGCAAAGACAATATAACTCAGTCACTTTTTCCTTAGTTTTTCCGTTTTTTTCATTTTTCTCTCCAAACCGCACCTTTACTTCCATAGCCTAAGCTCAGTTGTTGCTGACCACAATGGGACTGCAGACAGCAGGCACAGCTGAGGAAACACAAGCATGTTGAGTAAAACAGCAAGGGTTATGGAATACAACCAACGACAAAGATAGAAACTGAGCACAGCCTTATCTATTCAATTTTCACCCCAACTATTTTTAGAAGTCAGCGGAAGGATTAAGGTGTCAGTAAAACACATAGACTCAGTGACAAGTGAAAAAAAAGACCGTGCTCTTTAATCTAATTCTCCTCCTGGCTTGTTTCAGATTTCTAAACCTTTTCTGTGGTGTAGGTTTTTTAAAAAAAACAAAAAAACTATTTATACATGTATTAGATTTTGTTTGTGTTCACTGTGCTTCACAGTGAATGCATATTTGAATTGGTAATTGTTTTAGTTTTTGTGTGCTTGCCTGCAGTCTATGTGTGCTTTTTGCACTCAGAGAAGTGAGGAGACACGCTTGATCTGCTCTGCACTGTTTGACGGTTGTTTTCTCACGTTGTCACTGGCTTGGTGTGCTCTGGCGTGGTGATGGTATTATGTGCACTGGGCCCAGCTGAGTGCAGAAAAGAGCAGAGCAGCAGCGCCCCTGGCTATGCCACTCCCGCTTCCCCAGACACCTTATTGTGAGAAAAGTCTCGGCTGAGCCCTCTGGGCCTTGTGGATCCACTGCCTTGCTAAGTGCTGGCCAGACTGAAAGGCACAGTGTCCTTGGGCTCAGCTCATTCTTTCCATTCTCTCAGAGGCTTTGTCTCATAAGCCAAGAGAGCAAGGGGAGAAAATGCCAAATTACACCCATGTCACTAAAACTTAAGGTGTTTAAGGGCTGAGATGTCATTCGCTGTAGAGTTTTGTGTTATTCATGATGATGAGGGAGTGCTATAGGAGGATAACTTCAGAAAAGAGTATTTTTCTTTCCAATGGTGTTAAAAAGTAGTGATTTTCACAACAGGAATTTCGGTATGAAGTCTTTACGGCCCTTGAATTTAAAAGATATCAAAATGAATAAAAGGACAGTGGAGAAATAAAGCGTTGAAGTGAAACGGCCTATTATAATGCCGAAAATATTTCTGCAAGATATCCTCCCCATATTTTCAGAGGCTGAAACATCTTTACTGGGCTTGTGAGATCAGAGAGACGTTTAATTTTCAACCACGGATAAAAGTTCCACTGACAAATCTGTTCCTTGACATTTCTGCCTGTTTTTCCCACTTAAAGCGAAGCACATGGAAGTCCTAATCAATTTTCAGCCAATCTTAACACAATAAAAGCACATATTATATACAGGCCAATAACACAGGATAATGGAAACCTGTTGTAAGTCAATTTTAAACATGTGTCTTCAGTATTTTTGTGGGTAAAGCTTCTGAACGACCCCTGCAAGCGGTGACATCATGACCACATCCTTTTGCCTCATTGGCGCTGCGAATCCCAGCTCGGGTACCCTTGCGGCCGGGCTCCCAGAAGCCACAGCACCCTCGCTACACATGGGCTGCAGCTGGACCACCGCTGGCTACTCTGAACAGGCTAGGGCTGCTCTGGTATCTGCGGTTACACTGCTGGATGTACATGCGTATATCTGCACACAGCAGTGGAAACAGTCTGTATAGAGATCAGTAGGCAGAGTTTATTTGATGCAAACATATCATCAGGCTCTCAGTGCAAAGCGATGTTGTATGCAAATCCACTCCCTGGATGGAAAGAGGTATAATTAATGATGTCAGATCATAAAAAGACAGGATGGGTTCTGAGTCATATTTCTGCTTTAATTAAAGACATAAGATCTCATATGAGGAAGATGTATGATCTCTGTGTTTTCTTTCTTTCCTTCCTTCTTTTCTCCCTTCCTCCTCCTCCTCCTTCTTTTTCTTCTACTTCTTGTTTTTTTTTTTGTTTAATTATTACTCATTTCATAGTAAAAATGGTTCTCTGTGATTTCTCCTGCCAGAACCCCACACGCTGACATGGAGGGCTTTCTTCGTAGCAGCTTTTTACTGAGGTTAGTTTCATTTCCGTTATTGCCATTTAGGATCATAGGTCGGGCATGGGTGGTAGCGGGCTAACAGGGGTTAAACTCTCTGACACATGTTAGCTTTAGACTTTGTCCCGTGTGTGCGTGCACATGTCTGTGTGTGCGCATGTGTCTGTATATTTGAACATTGTCAAACACGGATTCTGACATATTTACCCAACCTGTTTGTTATGATTGTGCTCGTGTAGTGTGTGGCTGAGTAGCATGCTCACCCGGATAGCCTTAAGTCAGACTGAAAGCACACATCAACAGCTTGAGGGACACATGAGCTGGCCTTAACCCCACCCCCACCCTCTCCCTCCTTCCTCTCTGTATCACAGCTTAAAAAAACTGCAGGTCAGGGTTTCTGTCTTTAAGCTGCATGCCTTTGTCTGACCACTTTCTCTCTCTGCCTCTCCGTCTTTCCCCTACTAACCACCCCTAATCGGGGATGTTGGGGTTACTGGGGTGAGGCAGTCGCTGGGATATTGTTCTTGTGATGTACTGTTGTTTCCTGTCGTGCTCTGTGTTTGTATTCAGCGTGACATAAAGATTTACATTTTTGTCTTTACCCTTCCTGTGATTCTAATTAAAAATTTGTGCTGTCATTACACACAGAGGAAGTAAATAAGAGAGCTTATTTACCATTGGCTCCTTTCCTAGTCAACCACCTTCTCTAGGCTCCAGCGTTGCTCCCTAATTAGGGTTGGCTCATTAAAAGCCACAGCAGCAGCATCTGCCTTTCAAAGCTGCTGTCAGCCAAACTTTACTAAAGCTAATGAATCCTCTTTGATTTCTTTTTCAAAAGGTCACTTATTTGATTAAATTAACAGCATTTTTTTCCCTCAGAACTGTTGGGGGCATTTTAAAAAGAAAGGACAATTTGATACCATTACTCTCGGTAGTCAAAATGTCCTTCAGGAATTCAATAGGAACATTTTTCATGCATTTAAATGTATTTTATTTATCTTTAGCATTCAATGAGCTCGAGTCCCACATTTATACACCTAAGAAAGAAGCAAGCTGATTTCAGAGCTTTCAGACAACTGAAATTTGGTCCAAACCTATTTTGCAAAGTCATACTATATAAGATGTTTTATTATTTTATTATATTATACAAGGGTTTAAAAAAATACATCTCTAACTGTAAACCAAAACTCACAAAAAGTGCAAATACTTACCTATATATTTTTTTATTTTTATGAATTCCTCATATAGTTTCTGTTCACTAAATAAATAAAATAAGTAATGCAAAAATGTACAGTTACTGTTTTATCTTTCAGGGCATGGAACCAATTTATCTGGTGTGGTATATCTACTATGGTTTGACAGGAGTTATTCAGGCATGCAGCATGTTAAATTTTTGAAAACATGTTGCCATTGCTCATTTCCATGGTTTTTTTTTGTCTTTTTTTTTTTGAGTAATGCCACAAAGTGGACGACACCATTTAACTCTCAGCACCTGTCAAAACCAATCTGCTGGAAAAATAAGTGTACTAAAGATGAACTGCATTTAATAGGATGCGGGATAAAGAAATAGTTCTTAAAGCGATCCTTACATATACCACTTTTACAAAAATTAGAAGGCAAATACTGGAACATGACCTTTGACCTTGGCTGCTTTTCAACAATTTCCTTTTGTTCTCACAGTCTAGAGAAAACACTGCGATTATTTTAAGTAAACACACTATTGCACTGCTAATCCACATCCTTCTGTCAATGTCTCTTTTAATTAAAGGAGAAGCAGCAGCAGAAAGATATCACGCACACTGGCTGGAGATTGGAGGCCTTAACAATCAGGCCAAGATTAAAGGCAGGCTTTGCTTCAGGGTTAGCCCTTTTGCTTTGATAAAGACTTGTGTCCTGGAGTGGGCTTTGGGGTGGGGGCAGGGGTGAAAAGGGAAAAAAAGGATGCAAACAGGGGCGGATGGATGTGGCAGTTAGGCATTCCTCTGGTGTACAATCCCAGTATATTTTCTCAAACAACAGAATTAGGTCAAAGGGAGCTTTCTGAACAAATTCAGACATATCTACTCCTATATGCATTTGTTATTGACTTTTTATAGTGTACTCCAAATCACCAAAGCATACCAGATGTGCCTTTCATTACTGTAATGAATCACAAGTTTGCTTTTGAGTCACACATACAGAGAGTTCTTAGCTGTAAAAGTATCCACTTTCATTTTTGACAACTGCTGCTTCCTAATGGCATCTGATACACAGCCGTCGTGAAAAATACATCAAACTCCAACAGAAAGCCCCTTATTTACCCCACAGCTCAAAGACTTTCCATTGTATGATGGCAATAATTGTGCGTTTCAAATTCTCGGTAATTGTAAAAACTAATGCAAAAAATTACAGCGCCCGATGTACACAGCGTCTTTAATGGACAATTGTTTGGGTTTTTGCATTACCGTAAGCCTCCCTCGTCGAAGAGAAGGTGCGTTTTCACCTCAGATCAATTTTTTATATGTTTATGAAAGATGTT